ATCACTGCGATGAATATGCCTTGCTTAAGTATTCTTAAAAACTTGGCAGGAAAGCAAATATCTACTGTTTTTCCTTTCATTTCTATTACATCATTAGATTTGCCTTTTGGCTCTGAGACTTATGAAAATCATGCATATGATTACCAGATTGTTTTCATTATTTCTTTTAGGAGGAGAAAGTTTTGGTAAACACTGCTGTGTCTAATCCAAATGATACAAATATACGATAATGTTTTACATTTAGAAAACTGCTCATGTAGAAGATAGTGGTGTTCTTAGCACCAGCCATCCTTGGAGGGCATAAACAAGCTGTTGATCATTACCTAGCCTCTTAGATGCAACCTAGATACAGAGCAACTCACTTATTAGCTCTTCTTATTAGTGTCAGACATTATCTCCTTACATCAAGTAAACATTTCCTTTACAACCTAAATCTATTAACTCCCGGGGCATTTGGGGGTGTTAAAAGGGTTGAGACAGCCCTGCTCCCTCTGCCCAGGTACCTCGTTATCCAGAGATAATCTCCCACACAGTGATGGATCAGTCAACACTGGACGGAACACTTCCCATATGTAGCTTTTTTTTTTTTTTTTTTTTTTTGCTTCTGTATCTCTGGATAGAAACCAAAAAAGCTGATTACATTGGTTGCCTCTGGGAAGGAGAAGTGGGTGACTGGGATCAGGCATGAGAGGGATTCTTTTCACTGCTTACTCTTTGGGCCTTTTGAATTTTTGAAACATAAGAATGTATTACATAGTCAAAAAAGCCTTGAAAAATAAAGGAGCTATTCCCTACTCCTTTTGTAAATGAGAAGTTCATTTATTGAATAATGTGCTGGTGCTGATATTAAATGTGACACTCTTGCTATTGGTGTACCAGAAGACACCTTGGAAACCCCCATCATGAATACATTTTGGGACATGTTTGGTCTGTAGTGGTGGAGAATTGTAGTGATGCACTCTTTCCTCTAGTTCCCCAGGTTTCTCCCAGTATTTTGCAGATATCTGTCTGGAATTAGAATGGACTTTAGTCCCATGTAACAAGGGTGAGGACCAGTGGGCCCTGCAAGAGTTCATTCTGTGGCCTGACAGGTACCAAGCCCTAACCTTGGTCCCTTAGAACACTTGCTGCTTATCCGGCCAGCCACATCCTGAATTTTCTCTCCGCAGCAGCTGCCTGCCCACACCACTGTTCAAAATCCCAAAGACCATAGGAAGGGCCATTGCATTCTGAAAGGAGATCACCATGGCAAAGGAAAGCCACTTTCCTTTCCATGGGAAATAGAATTTCTACAATTTAAAATCATTCCCTAAACCAGTGATGGTGAACCTATGACATGCGTGTCAGAGGTGACACGCGAACTCATTTTTTTGGTTGATTTTTCTTTGTTAAATGGCGTTTAAATATATAAAATAAATATCAAAAATATAAGTCTTTGTTTTACTATGGTTGCAAATATCAAAAAATTTCTCTATGTGACACGGCACCAGAGTTAAGTTAGGGTTTTTCAAAATGCTGACACGCCGAGCTCAAAGGGTTCGCCATCACTGCCCTAAACCAAGGGTCGCCAACCGCTGATCCGGGGACCACTGGCGGTCCGTGAGGCCTGAAAGGTTGGCGACTGCTGCTCTAAACCATGAAGGCAAATTGTATGAAAGGTTAGCTTTTATTTAAAAACTAAAATTTTTTTTTAAACTATATTTTGAAATGGTTACAGCTGAGTACTAATATTATGGGTAATTATATTTTTCTTCTGGAAATTCTGTTTTCCAATGTTGTTGTGTCAAGTGTATGAGATTTATAATCAAGAGAATATTATTTTTTTAATTGAGTTTTGTAAATAAGAACATTTTTAGAGTGTGTAATGCAGTACTTATATTAAGGAATATTATGAAAGATTAATAGAATCATTGAATTGATGCTCTTAGAATAAAAACAGGCCTCAAGGGATCGTTGGCATAATGTTAAGTGGAAAAATCAGGATACTGACTGAGTGTATATATGGCAGAAGTGTTTTATTTAAAATTCAGATGCATAGAAAAAAATTAGGAAATGATATAAAAAACTCTTAATGGTTTGTTATGGGGCTATAGTTTTTTATTTTTTTCTTTGCTCTACTTTTCAAATTTTCTTGATGTGGTTATGTTGAGGTGTGTCTTTAAAGCAATTATCTCATTCTATAACATCCTGTGGTATTACTATCTTAGGTGGATTGGCTGATTTGGCTCAGTGGATAGAGCGTTGGCCTGCAGTCTGAAGGGTCCCAGGTTCAATTCCGGTCAAGGGCACATGCCTAGGTTGCGGGCTTGATCCCCAGTGGTGAGGCAGCTAATCAATGATTCTCTCTCATCATTGATGTTTCTGTCTCTCTCTCCCTCTTCCTTCCTCTCTGAAATCAATAAAAATATTTAAAAAATAAAAATAAACCACTTTTTCAGCTTCCAGATATGCTTATGAACATGGAACAGGGCAGAAATGACACATGGGACCAAAATAAAAATTAAGAGTCCCCCACAGAGGAAGAAGAGGGCTGCTTCTGCAGTGGCACTTTCTTTCATAGGTGCCCCATGTACTTGCTGCTTGGACAAAAACCTGAAAGAGTTGCAAAATGCTGCTTTACCCACCAGACTGGAAATCATGGCTCAGCATTTGAAATAATATAATCCCATCCAACCTGCGGTCTGTTTTCTTGGGTAGAGCAAGGAGCTGTGGTTTAGGAGAACCTCCTCATTTGTTTAACATAAGTGTGTGTGCTGGACATGTAGAGCCTTTTAAACAAAGGGAAAATTAATTATTCACGATTTCTGTGTATAAGAAATAGAGACGTATAGGAAAGTTCATATTTTACATTTGTGAGTAATTTTATATTTTATATCACCTGAATGAATTTAAAGGAGTACATTTTTAAAAATAAATTATGGAGGGATCATATTGAAAAGAACTTTTTTATGGGAAAAAAAATATTTTTTTCTGCATTCCTTGACTTAAGAAGAGTTTTTTCCCCCCTATTTACTTCCTCTCAATAATATGGGAATAAGAAAAGTGTATTGCAATTTTAACAAGAAGAAGAAAATATGGATAACTCCAAATTTGAGTCTCTGGAAAGTTCTGGAGAAAAAAAGAGCAGCCGGAAAAACTTGAGTACCCTTAGGGCACAGTAAATGTCTTTATTGCTCCATCAACTGGAAGCCTAAAGCCAAACTGTCATTCTGTCAGATAGGCAAACTTCTCAGGAGGCAAAGCTGAGGTTTTTTAGGTTTCAAAATAAATGCAAACTGCTGAGTGGTAACAAACTGTATAACAATTTGCATTTTCAGTACCTCTAGCACAGTGGTTCTCAACCTTCCTAATGCCGCGACCCTTTAATACAGTTCCTCATGTTGTGGTGACCCCCAATTTCATTGTTACAAATTGAACATAATTAAAGCATAGTGATTAATCACAAAAACAGTATGTAATTATATATGTGTTTTCCGATGGTCTTAGGTGACCCCTGTGAAAGGGTCGTTCGACCCCCAAAGGGGTCGCGACCCACAGGTTGAGACCCGTTGCTCTAGAAGAACATTTTAGAGCTGAATTTGAACATAAGGTGCCTAATTTAAACCGGATGTAAATACCCTTTTCTGATTGGATAGTGCGAGAAAATATATGTTTGTTTTTACCGAATCTGTCAGCCCATATGAAAAGCGGGAACATTGCTGAGCCCCAGGTCGTGGGCATATTATTGCATTCACACTATTAGTTGGTCACCTTCCTCTCTTAGCCGCCCTTGAAGCTGTGCTGATGGCCTGTGACTCCCAAGCAATCCAGACTGTGGAACTCACTCTCTAGTGGGATCCATGAACAGACTGTGTCTGCAGAAAAAACAAAAACCTCCTTCCAGTGCAAATTTTAGAAATGTTTTTACAGGACACTTTCCAGGAAAATGCTGGGCTTGAGAAGGCTCTAACTCCCTTCAGGTCCACTGACTGCTCACTTTGTTTCCCAGCCCGATTTTTAATTTACCTTCTTCATTCCATGGACTTCCCCGATGGGAAGAGAAAGCCTCTCGTGTCGTGTTCCCCCAAACTTGTCCTTTGAATCCAGGACACTGTGGGGTGTTGCTCTATGGAGCCCAGCAGATCAGGAGAGGGCTAAAATGATGGCTAAATTACGTGAGTTTGTAGAGCCTGGAAAAACTGGACCTAACCGAGAGGGATTTGGGTAGCTTGTGGGGTAAAGACACTGCAGGGGCTGTTTATTTGTGTCAGCAGGCCCCCTCCGTGGGCTGTGGGCAGTGCTGGGCTCCCTGCATGGTGGGAGCGATGCTGCTTGTTTCAGACCCTTGGCCATGACTGGACTGGCTTTTCTAGTAATTGCAAGAAGTTTGTACAGGGCCCAAGGATTTGAGTTGCCAGTATGAGGCTTTAGACTAGAAGCATTTTAAAAGGTAGCACATTTAACAAGATAGAAAGTGCAAGGGCAGGCTTACAAAAAAATATATATATCTGTTATCTGTATGGTTGTACATATGCTTAGTATGTTGCCTATAGAACGTTTAGAAGGAAATTTCAGCAGGCATTTGGAAATTCAGGTGTGGAAAGTAGATTTTGAGTCCTCCTCGGGAGGTGAGAACAGGCTAAAGGTAATGAAATGGTGACTACTTGTGGATGTTTCCTTGTATAACGACAAACCAGGTGTAACCAAAACCTTTATGAAAATCTCCCTCTGCTCAGTACAGCTAGAACATGATCCTCAAGGATAGGGGTGCTTTGTGTATCGATGGCTCTGCATCCTGGGAGGATATAATCAGTGTCTCTAGAACAGGGGCTGCCTCTGCTTTCTGACGTAACACTTATAGCAGCATTCTGTTATGACAGTAATTTATAACAGTAATTCATTGGGGGGCTGTGTAGAGCCACCTCTAAGTACAGACATTCCCATACCTTACTCAGTTCACTGAATACAGCCTGTGTCTCTGTACCACACACTCACTCAGCGTTTCCATTTGCTTATTTCAGGTTTCATCGTCCGTAATGAGGTGCGAGACTCTTTGGAAACATAGACTGATCATCTTTGGGGGCAGCCTCGCTTCCTAAACACCTGATACTGCATTGCACTGGGATTTGACTGTGTGTGTTTCCATTTAACTTGTGGTGAAGGAAGCATGTGGAAAGTGCTCCCCACCTGTACAGCCCAGATGTGGCCAACAAGCCAAGGGTCGGGTGTAGTGACCCTGCTGTCCAGCATGGGCACTGATGGTAAGGGACACAATGGTTGCACCAGTTATTCTTCATCAGGGGTTTTAATCAAAGAAGATGAGCAGAAGACAATCGCTGGCTCCCTGTTACCAGAAAGCCAAATTTTAGAGTGCAGGTTAAAGGGGGTGAGCCGGGGATGGAATGTCTGGGCATTGGTAAGGGGTGGGGGTTGAAAAACAGAAAGAAAGAGAAAATTTCATTATGTTAATGAAAAAAGAACATTGAAACTTAAATGTATTTTTGAAGAAGGCTTTTGATAGCTGAGAACTTATTAAGGGCTTGGGGGTCTAGTCACCCCCTGTGGATTCCTTAGACACCTGATCCTAGAAGAATATTCTTTCACCCTTATGTTGGTGCAGTATAGTACCATTATTTTGTATTGTGCCAGTGAATCTAATTGCCACAAATAAGTCTGAGTGTTTTCATGCATCTTTTTCTTAAATGCAAGAGGCTTTCATGGACTTTAACAAGCATGCTTACCCAAATTCTGTTGCATGCTTTAAGTAGCATAGCTATATACACTTCACTTTTTTTTTTTAGACTCTTTACCTAATGCACCAACCTCCTGCAAGGAAAACAGGACTGGGAATAAATTCAGATGGGATGTGACCCTATTAGTCTGTAGCAAGCTTTAGAAATAAATCTGTTGGTCTTTCCCTAGCTTGATTATCTTCCAAGTTGAAACAACCATGCTTGATCTAAGGAAGATAATATTGACAATCACACCTTTTAAAAAATCCTGAATCCAAAATTAAAACTTAAGCAAGATGCAAGTGTTCTGCCCGCAGTTAGCTTTGAGTGGGACTGCAAAGGAATACTTAATTTCAGTGCTGCATTAAGTTGAATTGCTGCTATTAAAAAGATAAAGTACATGGATCAAAAAAAAAAAAACTCACCCAAAGATATATAAGAACACGGAAAATTTTTGCTAAGTTGAGAATGAGGAGAATCTTATTTTGTGTTTTATGTCTCTGCAGATTGCATCCATAAATATAATATTGACTTTCAGTGCAAAAAAAAAAAAAAAAAAATAGGTGACTTTAAAGTTATGGAAGGTGTCCCTATGAGCCTACAGTCAGTATTGTTTACATTAATAAACCCTCTATTTCATCTTACTATTTTCCATGGAGTCACAGGCACAGCATGGCTTCTGCTCTCAAACATGTGACCACATGTAAATACTACCTTGCATTTCATTGTTTGTTCACAATTGTTTTGGGCCCCCTTTTATTAAAAACACATGCTTTGTGTAATAAGACAAGACCTAACTAGACTTATTTTCTGAAATGATTCTGATTCATAATATGGAGGACTATAATTTTCGATCTCAACCAAAAAGCAAACATTCATCTGGTGGATAAATTTGGATCCTGCCATTTATTTATATTTGATATTTTAAAGAACTCCTTGAAATGGGGGGTGATTTTGCTTAAAAGTGAAAAAAAAATTGGCCCCATTTAGTCTATTACAACAAACCAGGACCATTTATAACTGAAAATTGACCAGCATTGTTGCAACTCTTGCCACACTCAGCCACATGCTGTTAGTGAAATGGCGTAGGATTTCTGCACTGGTGTCATTTCAGTAATAGGATCAGATATATTTTTGCTCTGAAAAAATGTTTCTGCATGCCAAGTGGGTTTCTCCGGCTGAGGTTGAGTCCATTTCATAGTGCTTACATCCAGCTATAGACATGACCTATGTTCGCATTTTTTCCTGAAGTCATTACATTATTTTATTATTATTTTGTTGTCTTAGGAAAAATACCAAGGAATGTAATGTTATTTTAATTTTCTATACTTACGATTTTTTAACAAATCACGAGGCCTCACTTCCATAAAAATGGTAAACATAAGACATCACTGTTTTATTACTCCTATACATGTCAAAGAAAGTCCCCACTTAATTGATAAAAGGCACAGTTTTTTCCCCTCTAGTGGTGCATGAAATGCAATTTTTTATTCCTACAATGAGTGCATCCAAACAAAAATGAGAATCTGGTGCCTCGATCCATTGTTTTTCTTGTATGATAGGTCAAATTTAGGAACTACCCACACTTTTTCTTCATACTGATTTATATGCTTAGAGAAAATTTTAAGAGACAAGCTTAAAAGTAAGTAAATAAATAAATAAATAAATAAAAATTAACTGTGGCTAGTCTGAAATATAAGGCTTGGAACCACCAGTTACTTCATTAATTGATTCTTTAAATAAAAAGCTGTGGAAAGAAACGAAGGGTTGTGAACTAAGCTGTATTCTGCAGAATAGGCTCTATTTCCATAGCTAATTCTAAAAGGCGGAAACACTGCATACCCACCCCAGCAGCCCATCCAGAGGCCTTGTGCTTGGGAGCCCTGGAAGGATGTGAAGGTGTGAACACCACCCCCACCATTGCAATACAAGTATGCCTCTGCCTGAGCCTTTCTACAGTTTCAGCATTTCTGCAATCCAACCCATACGCTGCAGTTCTGTGGAGAAAATAAATGTGTGTGTTAATTGTATTGTTGTTACACAGCTCCAGGTTAGGCTGAAGTGTGTGGGTTTTCCTGAGTCTCCAAGATATGATTCAGGGAAAAAAACAAATCCATCTCCAGGAAGGTGCCAGGTAGGAAAGAACTAGACAGACTGTAAGTAGCCATTTCCATCGTTCCTAAAATGGAGAAAGGAGCATTAGCATTAAGGGCTTAAAAAGATGCCATGGGCTTAGCATCTTCAGGGTCATTACCAATCAGCCTCACAAATGAGACCTCTGGTGAGCAGCATTAATTTAGGGCAGCCTGCCTGATAGTTTCCTGTGTATGTGAAATGTCTTGCATTTTTTATCGTCAATATTGTTCACCCTTATGTTAACACCTTAAATTATTTACATTAAACCTATAATATTCAGAGAACCATTTTGGGTATTTCAATAACTTTTAAATGGAGGAAAAGGCAAACTCACCTCTCTCTCTCTGAAAAACTGACTTTCTGGTTTTATTTTTATATCCTTTATTAGTACAATGATTTTTCACTTATCTTTTTCTACTGTTAGTAAATATATTCTGTAAGTAGAAAGTTCTGAGATTTAAGTGAAGATCTATTTAAAGACATAGAGGAATTGCATATACCCTTCAAATATGATCCAATATTGGAAATGAGAGATAAGTTCTTTAAACCCATAATTCGGGTTTTACACACTGCAGTTAATTCAGTGCTACACTGGCACTTTAAAAAAAATACAGTAACTTATAGGAGAGAAAAATCTGCTACACGCCTGTAAGTTCCACACTTTAACACATAACAGCCATTATATGTATACTTAATGGAGTCAGACAGACACAACTTTCAAAAATTATACTGTATTCACAATAGAAAAAGGAAGTCTTGTCTACCGCATAGTTGTATGCCCACATTTAAACAGGGAAGGTTTCTTTTCTTCCTTTCTTGCTCAGAATTTTCTTCAGTGTTATTATTTTGTAAGTGGTCCCAGCAGCACATTTCACAGAGTGAGAAATCTCTTTCAGAATAGGTGAGAAAAAAATCAAACTTGTACAAGACATATAAATTTATATCATTTCATCAGTATGGTAGTTCATGCATTCCTAAATTCCAGTCATGTTTTAAGCCTAACCTTACTAGTAAAAGTATATACTTTGAAACAAAAGTTAATTTTTTCACATCGTTAGAATATGCTGTGAACACTGAGAAACCACTTAGATGCAGTTTCTTACCAAGTTGTCTCTTGGCCATTATTGAGTATATGCTCTCTACTGGTACTTAGGGGTGGGCTATATCAGTTCGTTTTATTTTACTAAGCAGAATGAACTTCTAGAACTAAAGTCCTAGAGGAGAAAAGTAATCATCAAATTAATAGGCCCATCTTTCTGAGAGAAAGCACGTTTCCGGCTAGTTCAAACCCAAGTTTCAAAGAGTAGCATGGGACTCTACTATAATTTGGCAGTGACCAAAGGGTGGCAGGGACAAAAGGCAGAATACTCCCAAACCATTCACCATTCATTCTCTCTCTCTCTCTCTCTCTCTCTCTCTCTCTCTCTCTCTCTCTCTCTCTCTCTCTCTCTCTCTCTGTCTCTCTCTCTCTCTCTCTCGCATCATTATGCTTTAGCTCTGCATGGAAATGTGCACCGCCACTAGTATTTCTAGAAAACAACAGAAACATAGGCTACTTAAGCTTTTTCAAAGACAGGGCCATCCCAAATTAACAAATCCCATTGTATATGCTGTAAGATTTCTAGGAGTAAAAAAAAAAAAAGGAGAATACTATGGCATTTATTCCCACTGAAAGCCAACTTATAGGCAAGGGAGTCATTTTTAGCTATGCCAGGATTTGCTGCACACACACACAGACAAGTCATTTTGCTTGTTGCACTGCTAGCACAGCTGTACATATGAGCAAAGCACTGTGGATCAGTGTTTCTCAGTGGGGATGCTGTTGGCATTTGGAGCTGAGCAATTCTTTGTTGTACAGAAATGTCCCATACATTGCAAGCTGTTTACTATCCCAGGCCCCTGCTGACTAGCTGCCAGTATTACGCCCAGTAAAAATCAAATGTAAAAAGCCTTTCCCCATGTTCAAATGCCCTCCTAGGAGGGCAGTTGCCCCTCCTGTGAATACCACTGTCTACTGCATTTTAGGGCATTAAAAATGCAGGAAAAGTGTCTGTCTCAAAACATGTCTCGGCTGCCTTGCATTTCTTTGGGCCTTGAATCATTTCATCCCCCTTCATTTCTCGAACCTTCTGCTTCGATGCAGCTTTAATTTGCCCGTTCTTGAGGGAGGTGGTTACTGGCCAGCCATGGCAGTTCTAAAGGGCATATCCACTTGGGTAGTCCCTGGACGTACTTAACGGAGAGATTTCACAATGAGCAAACTTTTTCATTTTTTGACCTCATAATTTTACTTCAGAACTACACTGTTGTGCATAATCCTTGTCAATGTCACGAGGATCCTTGCATAGTTTAACCACAAACATGATGGTTGACAGTCCACATAAACAAAACCTGTGGTCTATGAGCATTACCATTAGATTTTTACCTGGGAAGCTGCAACTTATGAGTTCCAAAACAATCACCTGTTTATCATAAGAAAGAAGCATTTAATCCATATGCCAGTGTTTGAATTCCCCCTGTATACATGTAGTTATGTAGCTCAACTTTCCTAAAATTTGTGAATTGTGAAGGAAATGTGGGGTAGGTGTGGATTGTATCTACATTTGCTTCTATACTTCAATGCTGATGATGCCCAAAACAGGATGAGTTTGACCTAGGTGAAACATTATTACACTGTACTACCAATACCTAAATATACTTACTCTCTTTGTTGCTTTTTATGACCAAACCAGAATATTAAATATGTCTCTGAAATGATTTGGATGAACTGTGGCTAATAGAATGGAATTAATTTAACCACTGTAATTTTTTTAAATATTCAAATTTCTAAAACATCTTTTTTGAGAAAGAGCAACTCAGAATCGACAAAGGTGGTTATATTGTGAACTTTTAGATGGTGCTTAAGAATTCTTATCTTGTTAAATATCAGTATTTCTTTTTTTTAAAGAATAAATTGAAAGGAGTAAATGAGGCAGAATGCCACTCCACCCTCAGGTCAATTTTATGGTATATAAAAATGCCAATAATATTTGTGCCACTTACCAATATGGGGGAGAGGTCGACTTTTCCCTTACTGGATGCTTTCGTTATAGTGTGACTATACCATTATGTTGTTAAGAGAGCCTCCACAAGGAGAAGTCGCCATTGCAATGCTAACAAGGGTTCGAAAATAATCTGCATGAATCGGGTCAAACCACTTTCATTACTTAAAATATAGGCACTGATATTTTTATATATTTTTAAATATTTCTTCTGTGGCTTAGACATGTGCCAATGTGTTCACGACATCCTGAACCAACTTCACCAGATATAGTAACCTACCTACATTTTTTTGTCTATAAACAGTCATTTTAAAATAAAGAACTATATTTGGTCTTGTGTTATTTCAAGCTTTGGTTAAAATGATGAGGGTGGTAAGCTGTGACCACTAACAGACAGACTGACTGATTCCTGATTTCCAGTGAGTGAGCTGACCCTAAATATTGCACAGGTGTACTCTCTGTGAGTGTAAATAACTGGAACTGTACACCGATGAACATGACAGTTTCTCTTTTCTGTTGCTGTTGTTCTTGACCTGTACTGTATTATAGAATGTGGGTATAAATAGCTCCGAGTATACACACATATGTATATGTATCCCACTATCATAACCTGAAAGAAAGACTATGTATTATCTTTTTTATTCTGTACTGGTGTTTGTGTTATTTAAAAAGCAAATTTATGCTCTATTTAGTTGTATTATATTATAGGATACCTTGCTGTGCACAATTCCAAGTGCCTTAGAACATTGTTTAGCTTTCTTAAGTATATAAAAATGCATATATGTATAAAATTGGGAAAAGTTACCTCAATAAAATCATTGGGAAATCCCCAGCTTTAGTTTGTCACAATTTCTGTTGTATTCAGACAGTGCTCACTCAGTCTTTTTAAATTAAAACCTCGTAGAGTTCTCGCCTGTATGGTAAAGCAAGACTAAGATAGCTGTTCTAATTGCCTGTTATTTCAACTCCCCCTAACTGAAAACTTCTTGTATGTAAGATCTTGTGATTTGTATTTTTTATTTAAAATACCTAAGAATTACTCTTTAAATAGTAACTTAAAGTATATTTTTTAAACTTGCTATCGTTTTATATCTGAGTATATTTGATATTGATGTTTTTATTGACATTATTATGTATAAAAATAAAAGGTAGTCCCTTTAGAGGTTATAATATAGAAAATAGTCCAGCTGGTGTGGCACAATGGTTGAGCATTGACCTATGACCCAGGAGGTCACAGTTTGATTCCTGGTCAGGGCCCATGCCCGGGTTGTAGGCTGGATCCCCTGTGGGGGGGCCTACAGGAGGCAGGCAATCAATGATTCTCTCTCATCATTGATGTTTCTATCTCCCTCTCCTTTCCTCTCTGAAATCAATAAAAATATATTTTAAAGAAAGAAAATAAACTTCCTCATTATGCTTACTATTTAATGTATTATAAGCCAGGAGAGAGATTGGGAACATATTTTGACCAGAAGAGGAATTGGAATATACTTTTCATTATTTTCCAACCGTGGTTACAAATAATCATTTATTCTCCCTTGACTCCAGGACAAGGGCAGAGGTATGAGGGGGAAGTTGAAAAGCAATTTGTGTACCATTATTCTAGATTGAAGATGTATGATAAGATTAGGAGCAAAACATTTAAAAGGAACATCTGAAAAATTGGCTCCAAGTATGCTATTAAAAATTAGCAGTACATTCCCAAGGTAGGTGTAGTGGTTCAACAACTACTTTTAATTTTTGTTCAAACTAAATCAGGTTCTACATTGAAACATTACTTTCCAAAACCCAATGGAGGTAAGAAATGGACAGTTTTTTTTGGTACACAATGGTTTGATGTCATAGCATTTATTGTGATTGAACGCTTCGCTGGACCTCAACTCAGACATCTGCATGGAGATGTTGCTACTGCACTGCTATCCACAGACAAGAGTCCTGTTTATGAGTTTATGAGTTTTGAAGCTCTTGGCCCTTTAAAAGATGGTCACTGTAAAGAACACATCAAATTCTAGAGAAAGGCTAAGAACCTAAAGTTCATGTGAAGTTTTCTGCTTCTTTGCTTTAAAAAGGTACCATTTCTAGAGATTTTAAGGAGAGAGAAAAAATCTGTTAATGTGCTAACTTTTCGTAATTAGACAAGTATCCTAGGGAGGAGAGAATTGGCATTTTCAATACTCGTTGACCTAAGGATTTGCTCTTGGGTGGACTTTCAACTTTGGTTGGCCCCAGTCAGACAAGCTGGAGTAAAAGGTGCTCCACATTGGGGAGAATTTGCCCCTAATGGTTCAGATAGGAAAATTCAGCAGTTCAAACTTAAGCTATCTGTGCACACCATCTTCCCCACAGCCAGTGTAAGTTCATCATGGCGTTAGTTCCGTCCCTGATTACCCCTGAAATCTCAGTAATTACCACTCTGAGTCTTCCCCAACCAATTTATTCTTAACCCTGCTCCCACATTGTTCTTTGTGGTGGACAACTCTCATGTTATTCCTACTCAGAATTCTCCAGTGAGTCCCCTCTGCCTACTGGAAAACTCCCAGGTACTTAATGTAGTGCCACAAGCCACCGTTCCAAATGACTCTCCTTTACTTCTCACTTGGGCCAAATCAAATGAAGCTCGTTGTTCCTCAGACACATTATGCACTCTTCCAATATCACAACTTTTTTCACACCTTTCCTCCAACTGGAATTCTGTTTATTAACATCCCACCCCTCCCTCTAGGAAGGATTCACATGTCTTCTCCAGCTATTGCGTTTTTTAAATATTCTGTTTCTCTGACTAGACCCAACTAATTTAAATAACATCATATATAGATTTGTCTGTTCCACACCACTATCTAGTCTTCTTTGTCCCTGAGCCCAGAGCGCTATAGTTGTGCTCAGGATGGCGCAAGTAAGTATGAAGAATGAGCTGAAGATGGCAGCTAAAGGCATGGAAAACTAAAGAGCACAATGGTTAAACCTAAAGGATCCTTGTAAACCTTCTAAAGGAGATGGAATTTATCCTTAAGACAAGAGGGGTCAACTCAGATAACATCTCAGATGTTTCCTATTATTCTGGCCACAGTGTAGAGACTAGATTGGAGAAGCAATATTAGACACACAAAGACCATTGATTTTTTTTATAATGTTTAATTTTTCATTAACACTTAATATTACATTAGTTTCAGGTGTATAGCATAGTGGAGATTATATATATATATAACTTAAGAAGTGATCCCTACTGATAAGTCTAGTGACCATCTGACACCAGTGGAGACCATTACTGTTGCTATAATTTTGCTGGGAGGTGATGGTGGCCTCGATCAAGGTATTAACTATTGGAATGAAGAAACATAGTGAGTTAATGACAGTTGAAGTGATGTTTGCACCTGGGGAATAAGTAAAGACTGTACCCACGCATCATGTCTAGGTGGAGAGCGGTGATGCCACTTGTTGAAATAAAGAACGGCAGAGGTGAGGTTGTTGTAAGAGGGGAGTGGGGGTGCAGGGGGAGGGGAAAGAGGGTAGGAGGTGTGAAGAGGTCAGGTATTCAACTTTGTATGTGAAATTCAATGTGTTTGAATTGCCTGCCTGTTCGGACTTCCACATGCGAATAATCTGTTGGATATGAGTCCGGAAGGTCAAAGAAAATGTCTTGGCTGCGGAGAGGAAGTTGAGAACCATCAGCACTGTAACGGAAGCTGTGGCAATGGACAAGCTCCTTAACAATGGAGCTTAAGACTGTGAAGAAATTGCTACAATGAAAATTGAATGAACTGTATTTTTGTTGCCTGAATTTGTCTCCAAATCATAAAATTCTTTCATTTACATATCATCTGAGTGCTTTAGATGATATACATATTTTTAACTTAACTGGGTTTTACTGGTTAGTATAAATTTAAATAAAATGGAATAGCACCTTATGGAGGGGGTTAAGTTGTAAAGGAAAAATTATATTTGAAAACTTACATTGCCCCAAATGTAATATACAGACATATTATCACAATAAGTCCAACATAGCCTTTTTTAACGTCATCAGT